TACCATTCCAAATTCTTGTTTTCTCCATACATTTTCGGAAAGAGAACTATATTAGAACGTTTTTACTTATGGTTTGAGAACATTAATGGTTATGGTTATGGTAGTCAGTAAGGTCCATTAATGGTTTTGTATTATCGCTCAACTTTACGTGAAATATATCGTGAATTGGTACACTGAACCAAATTGTCCACACATGAATGTATGATTATTGCTTCACTTGAGCCCCATACGGATTATTTTTCTATTTGAGAAAGATTATCATTCTCTGATTCAGCTTTCAAAGCACAGAAGAACTGAATAGCATCAATTCTAAAACAGGATGATTTTCATTCTGCACACTGTAAACCATCAGTTCTAAATCAGCATGATTATCATCCATTCTTAGGAAGACTTGCAATGAACAAACCGTATGATTAACATTGAGAATGATACGGACTCGTCATACAATTTCAAAATAAATTGTCATGCAATGTTCAAATGAAATATAAGTGCAATCTGAATGAAAAATATATAAAAAGAAGAAAGCTTATTTTACAGTTTAAAAATTGTGATCATAACAAAATATATCTGTCCTAAATCGTTGGAACAGTAAATTAATGTTGTGAATGAAACGCTTTTGTTTTACAAGTTGGACAATAGTGTTATTCATTTATTTAATATATTTTTCTGCGAAACATAACTTTTCTTCCCATTTCTTCTAATGTAAAAGGAGGGCCATCGAAAATTGTCATTACATTGTTTTGATACAGCGCTCCGTTGACAAAATTGCAATATCTATTACTTGTTTTCCTTAGATTGTACATATTTTTAATTATTTCAGACAGCACATCTTCGGTTTCGAGAAATTTTCTGATTTGAAACTCTAAGTTCATTAAGATTAAATGTGTAGTTTTGATGTTCGTGTCACTTCCTGCTTCATCGATACTACCGTTTTTAGCAATAAATACTCTCGGTTTACTGAAAAGGTCCGCCTCTATAAGAAACTTAAAGAACTTGTGCTCTGCATCAATGCAATTAAACATTGAAGACATGTTTTGTAGATAAACGTCTGTAATATACTGTGTTTGTGGGTCTCATGCCTGCAAAGGTACTATGGAGCGGATCAGGTTTTCAAGGTGACTATATAATTTCTTGACGCTAGTCTGGACATCAAAAACATCCTTCCGTGTTATGTTGCGTCGCTTGTAGAGGTCAAGCACGAAGTTCAGTGCCATGGGGTCAATGTTTTGTAATGACTGAAGAATCTCACAGCTAGCGGAAGTCGTTGGTCTCCTTGGGAAGGTACTCCTGCATCTGATTCCTAGGATTGGAAAGATATATATTATTAATGATGTTCAATAACTTGAGGAAAAGTGGAGTCGGTCGAAATATTTCGTGGGGGGTTTTGGAACAGTTTTTTTTTCTCGATGTTTTCCATTAAAAAAAAAAACTCGCCATAGATGGTTCCATCGTGATATCTACCACAAACAAAAAGATCATCATCGCTTACCGGTCTCCTGGCTGGTCTTCCCGTCCACCAGATAGTGTTATTCCGAATTCTTCGGTGGTCTCTCGTCCTACAACAGTTCCTTTCCGACAGAAAAAAAAAAAACCCACACCACACCTTGCACCGGACAACAATTCAGCAGCAGCATCAAGGCAGGATCAGCCAGCGCCAGCTTCTACGGGGCAGCCATGGCAGGCGGACAATTTTATTCTTCGCTCCCTGTCCGTTCGTACCCTAGCTGTTCACTTTTCAATCGGAATTGCTTGTTAGCTTCTAGCTGCTTTTTATCTTGTTCTGTCCGTCCGTCGGACGAAACCCCACGCACACCACACACACTCTCGGAAGCTCACGGATAGGAAAAAAATAACCAGCCAAAAAGCAGCGGAGAAAGGCTAGCACTGCGGTGCACTAAAATGCACCTTTTCTGCGGTCACACTTGGCACCAGCTGCTTCCCGCGGCTTCCGGCAGTAATTTTGCACAACTTTGCGACAGTTTTTCACTAATTTTCACCAATTTTTCGATCACTGGGAGCCACCAAAAACTGCGAATGTTGCCCCTTTGCTCAGTGCGCGTTCATCCAGCTGCGAATATAAAATGGCGAAGCCAAAACGCAACGGGAAACTGGAACGATATGAATCGCATGACAGTTGTTGTATGATTTTCGTCATGGGGCTAACTTGGATGATTTTACTTCATTTCTGTTCTTGAATTCATTTTTTGTTAATACCTTTCAAAATTTGAACGGTACTTCATTAAGTGGTTGATGTTAGTTTCTTTTATGATATTTATGATGAATCATCCCATTTAATGTCAATTATCAGTCAATCGGGTATCTCATATTATTTTCGATGTTAATGAAATCGGATAGCTCTGAATGATTAATCATGCAATGACGACATGGTAAATTCGCTCAGTGTAATCAGTAATTTACAGGCAACCAATTCGCGATATATTCCACATAAAGTTGATCGATGTTACAAAACCATTCATGGACCTTACTGGTTACCATAACCATAACCATTAATGTTCTCAAAACATAAGTTAAAAGATTTTAGTATAGTTTTCTTTCCGAAAATGTATGGTAGTGTGCTTTGGTCATAAATTTTATTGTTTTTGCTATGGTCATTCATGTCGGTTTGTCGGTGGTATAAGGGCGTAACCGCGATTATCGATTCTCTTCGTCGAGTTTCTCTTTTGTTCTCGCATTTGCGTAAAATGCTTCCCATGGAAGATTCCACAATACAGTGCCGAATGGAGACGAACCAGCCCAGGGCTGAGAGTCTCCTTAATAAAGATATAAAAAAAAAATAAAAAATAAAATGCAGTGCTCATTCAGTCATCATCAAAAATATAAATAAACGAAAATATATTAAATTAAATATTTCTATTGTTATTTTTTTTTTCAAAGCGTATATCAATCGAATTAAATATAATTCATATTTGAGATGAAAACATACATTGTTGCGATAAAAATGCCCATCTTTTAAATTAAATCCTTCCGTGAGTCTATGGGTTGATGCATATATTATGTTACGCTCTAAGGGGGGAGGGGGGGGGGGTCTAAGATTTTGTGACAAGCACTGCATTAGGTATAGGAAAAACGTCACGATAGGGGGGGAGGGGGATAAATTTTTGCTCGATTTAGCGTGACATAAATAATGCATGGGCCCTATTTAAAAAAACATGGGTTTTTATATTGACAGTTCTGCAATTCGATTTGAAAGTTTCTACTTTTAAGGCCTGTATAGAGATCGAAGCGAAGCGAAAACCTCATACAAAATACTAAATTTTTCACCAGCGTGAAAAACGCAATTGGCAAATTTTTCACTTCGCTTTGAACTGTAAACAGATACGATCCAGCGAAATCTAATGTTGTGGATCGCATCTTTTTCGCTTAAGCCTAGTATACAGATCGAAGCGAAACGAAATTAGAAGCACGCGAAAAATCATGAAATTTCGCTAGCGAAAAAGGTTGTGAAAAAATGTTTGTGGAACATTTTTCAGTTTCCTTTTTTCGCAGTTTACAGTTCATGTGAAACGAAATCGATCAGTTTACACCTCCGGTGAAGTGAAAATCTGACAGATACGCTCTTCCGAAACGTCAACTTTTCGCTTAACTGCTGCTCTTTTCGCGAGCGCTGCATGCGCGAAAAAAAAAATAAACGTAAGCGAAAAAGATGCGATCCACAACATTAGATTTCGCTGGATCGTATCTGTTTACAGTTCAAAGCGAAGTGAAAAATTTGCCAATTGCGTTTTTCACGCTGGTGAAAAATTTAGTATTTTGTATGAGGTTTTCGCTTCGCTTCGATCTCTATACAGGCCTTTAGCAAAAATGGACGATCTCTGGAAAAGGTTAGATTCCGAAACGTTGGAGAGACTTACGGATAAGTCTATACAGTTGTATCCTATGTGATATTATAATCTCTCGTGTTATATATTTTTTTTCGCTACAAATGCATTTATTCTCAATGTAAATATTAGAAAGTTTTTTTATATCAACGAAGACCAGCATCCTCCATTTGAAGAAATTGGTATTTTTTTACCCATTTTACGAAAAACACAATTCAAGAAGATGGGTAAAAAAACACCCATTTATTGACAGATCCCCCATTTACCCATTAATGAGTAAACCATAGTTTACCCATTAAATGAGGAGGGGCACTTTAAGCGGAAACGGGTGTTTTTATACCCATTAATGGGTTTTCGCGAAACACCGTGTAACGATGTCGAATGGAAATTGCTCGTTTGAAAAGTAGGTATTTCTTATTTTATTTCTTTTTGCCCACATCTAAAAAGCAATCTGAAACTTGCTGGGACAGAACTAGCCGAATCAACAAGGAGATCCCAGGAGAGCTTTGGGAGCACCATTTCTTGCACGAACGATGGAAAGACCGCTGGATGGAAAATAAAGAAATAAAGATATAAATATAAATAACGTTTTGTATTATCAACTATTCATTGTGGCTCTTTCAATGATCCATAAATCATACAAATTCTAAAAGAAAAATCCTGGTTTAAGGATTTCAAAATTGGGTACTTTGTACCCATTTTATAAAGCCAATTATTATTTAAAAATGGGTAAAAAAGTACCCCATGATTTGACGTACAAGGTCTTTACCCATTAATGGGTAAAGACGTTTTACCTATTAAATGAGTTTATCTACTTTACTTCGAAATGGGCACTTTTTCACCTATAATGGGTACTTTCCAGTTACAGTGTATAGGGCTTTAGTTGATTCTGGCTCCTCTTGACGTTCATATTTTATCACCTCTGCTTCTCCCAGGCCTACCCTAATAAAAAAAATACCATATCCGAACGATAACTCAAATGATTGAGCTATTCAACAAATGGTTTGAATGATACCCTGAACAAAATAAACATTAAACAAATAACCACACATTTTATTAGGGTCCTAGGATGTAATTAGTATTTGTTAACAGATCGCCCATTTTTTTGAATCACAAAAAAAAACGCTATTATACAGAACTTGGTGAAGCTTGTGCTAGCCTTTGTGTACGAAATGTGTTAAAAGGAGAAGCAGAGGAATATTCAGTTTAAACAGCAACAGTTATTAAATTTTGTATAAATGGCATTGTAGAGCCCTTAATGTTAATTATTTGTTAGGAATTTACATTACGGAATGGATACAACGGATATCTGTCGAGTGTGCATGGAAGACGATGGGGACACATTTTCTTCACTTTTCATTTCTACTACAGGATGCACGGTCACCCCATCTGTGATGATGATCGACTGCGCTGGGATTGCGGTAAGTTTTTGAATATATTTTTATTTTATTTATTGTTAATTTGATCTCAACTGCTCTGTTGTAACAGGTCGACAAAAGTGACGGATTGCCGGAAATGGTTTGTAGTGAGTGCTTGAGTTCCCTAAAGGTAGCGTACAAGATTCGTGAAAAGTGTCGCAAAACGGACCGAAAGCTCAGGAAGATTTTGAATTTGGTTCACAAAAACCAGATAACTTTAAACCCTGCTAGCAATTCTGACGAAAAAGCGGGGTGTGAAGTTATACCGGGTAACATCAATATTTCAGAACAATCGCCTTTGAATGAAGAATCTGATCTCCTCGAAGAACCCGCACTTGATATCAAGTCTGAACTGCAAATCACATCTCCGTCTATGCGGGAGGAGCTATATGACTTGCCAAATCTTGATCAGGCGGATAGTGAAGCAAACTATCCCACTGCGGAAAGTCCTGACCCAAGCAGCAATCAGGAAACTGTTGGTTCTACTCACACAAATCCTGAACTTACTGAATCTCCGTTGATTCTAGTGAAACAAGAGGAAGTTCAACAAACGGTACCTATCAACAAACAGAAATATCTGGTTGAGGAAACATCAGAACCTGCTGCATATAGTAAACATTCTAAAGCATCAACTAAGGAGTATGAGGATAAGCATGCAGAGGAAGACACATATTTTCCATCAAATTGTAATGAAGGCAGCAATAACGACGAAGAACAATCTGTAAACATGGAAGTGGAAGTATTGGAAGATGACGAATATGAGGACTATGAAGCCATAGATGAAGACTTTGAAACGGGGGACTTTGACGCAGCATCGTCGTTGATCGAAAGTTCAGTTTGCTGCGGCTGCTCTATGGAGTTCCGTACACGAGCAGAGCTTGATGATCATTCTAAATCAATTCACTTGCCAGAGAAGGATAAAGATACCGCTCTTCAGGATTGGTACATGTGCAATATCTGCTTCAAGAAACACAGTTCATTAAAAGCCCTAAACTATCACAAAACCAATCGTGTGAACAGAAGAATGCGGACATGCAACTGCTGTAAACTAGTTTTAAACAGTGTTCGCAAAAAAAGACACCACGAACAATTGCATAAACTTCTTCCGGAAGACTTTGAAATAAATTGCTGCGGATGTGATCAAGTAGTTCCGTTCAAGCAACTAGGCTCTCATGCAGAACAGATTCACAAGAATACAAACCAGCCAAATGTATCGAGATTTATCTGTGAAGTGTGTTTCCTAGATTGTGGTTTCAAACAGCGTTTAGACAATCATCAATCGAAACAGGATATACCGCAAGTCGTCGTGAGAAAGCAAACTCAACCTGAGGATAAATTCACTGCTCCCGTGGCGGACATCGATGGCAAACAGCGCTTCATATGCGACATCTGTGAAAAGAATTTCTCTACTAAAGGAAACCTGAAATCTCATCGTTCTCTGCATGGTGCATCAGATAAGCCATTCAAATGTGCCGTATGCGAGAAAGATTTTTCGAAGAAAAGTAACTACAACGTTCATATGCTCCGGGCGCATTCAGTTGAAAGCTCATTCCCATGCTCGGAATGTAATAAAAGTTTCAAATGTGCAACGAACCTGAAAACCCACATGCGAGTTCACACCAAGGAAAAACCCTACCGATGTGAGTTTTGTCAGAAAGCTTTCGGTTATCTCTCGGATAAACGTCGGCATGAAATTGGCCATTCCGGAAACTACCCGTACAAATGTAGCCTTTGTGGAAAACCCTATACGAGGAAAACATTGCTGAACAGGCATTTCAAGAGCTGTAGAAAACGGGTGGGCAAAACAACCGTGACTGAAATCAAAGCAGAAGTTCTCGATCAGCCAGGAGAAGATGTAACCGATTTCAAAACCAAACCCATGTTGACGTGTGATCTTTGCGATGATTGGTTTTCAACGATGGAAGAACTTGCGGATCATCACGCGGATATACACATTCAAACACTAGATGAGGGTACTTACGATGCCGAGGTGGAAATTGAGTAAGTATGTTTAAATATATAATGATGGGCACGGCTATAGTAGCATTTTTTTTTTTGCATAATTCGATCCGAACTGCCCTGAATATCAATGCATTTTGGATCCATTTCCGGTCACCACCAAACAAGACAGCTGTTAACATATTTTCAGATGAGTACTTTCAAGATAAAGGTCCAACAAAATCGTTTAGAATGGAAAATTGTGAACATCAACCTTATTCGCTGAAAAAAATACCAAATAACATCAACTAGCTTAATGCCCACGGAATGATTTATGAATTTTTGGCTGGTGGTCGGCTATCGGTACAGTATCGGGCTTATTTGGTTGAGTGGGCAAGTAGTTAGAGTTATTTTAGAAAAACGCCTTTTTCTAAAAATTAACACATTTTCTTGGAATAAATTGGCTGCAGTCGCCATTGACAATTTTCAGCAACCAAATTTCAAACGTTAATTTCACTGTATCTACTCACCAAAAATTTTTGCTGAATGTATTTAAACGATTCCTTAGTCTTTCAGCTTCAATCTGATAAAATTGTTGCTTCTGAGCAAATTTGTTATGCCAGGGTTTACTATACGCACTACAAGATGCAGTTGATTTTGACTAGCCGATAATACACTAGAAGAAATTAATATAAAAAAACTTTAAAAAACATGGCTCCTCCCAATTTTAAGAATCAGCGAAATTCTAAATCATGTGGGACCTTCCCCAGAAAACCATTCCCCCGAAAACCATTCCCCAGAATCTAATTCCCCAGAATGCACCATTCCCTAGAAAAGCATTCCCCAGAATGAACCTTTCCCCAGAATGTACCATTCCCCAGAAAAGAATTCCAGAATTTGTTTATTATAGTCACTCCTGGAATCTTCTTTCGCGTATATAAAAAGAATAGAAAAACTTCTTAATGGATCAAGGGGTTTTCCTTTCTTTGAAAATATAATAAAAGGAAATAATTAATACTTTGGATATACGATAAAGAAGGGAATATTCCCTTCTTTTAATATATAAGGAAAATATATAATCAATAGTTCTTCGCAAGGGATACGGGGTAATGCCCATTCGGGATAATAACGTGTGGAATAATGTTATAAATTTGTAATCGGTAGTTCAACGTTCCATGCACCGATTTTTTAATCCATCACGAGAAATTCTTCAACTCAGGTCGAACAATTCTTCGATAAGGTTTAACCACAGACAAACAGACATAGCACTTGCAAGTTGTTCGTCGAACAAGCATTTAACGGACAATTTAAAAGTTTCGTAGTTGGTAGTACCGCCACCTGTGGTGCGCATAGTCAATTCCCTTGCGTTTGACGTTTACACACTAACGCCATCTTTTCAGTGTAGTGCCCACCAGAGTGTACTCAACATATGGCGGTAATGTTTTAGCGACGATGTTTTACAGTGAGAAATATTCAATGTGTTATGTCTGTTTGTTTGTGGTTTAAAAATTTCCGACTGGTTGAATTGGATTGCATAATAGACCCTTTGACTTTTTAAATTATGAACGAAGTGCTCGTAAACTTGAAGGTTGTCATTTTCTAAAGAGCTATAAAATGGTTTGGAATTGATAAATACATAGTTCCATAAAAGTAATAAATAAAATATGTATATTAAGCTGTTCTGTAATATAAAACTAAAATATAATATCAAATAACAAAAAAAAAGTGATAAATTACTAATTTCATCATCTTTTCTGGGGAATGGTTTTCTGTGGAATGGTTTTCTGGGGAATGTTATAGAATTCTTAGAAAAAATCATGTACGAACGAGAAATTAATGGAATTTCGATTTTCTCCTTCAGAAATAAAGATATGGACGCCATTCGAAAATCATGCGTTGGTCATCGATTAACATTAAGGAGATAGGCAGGTACATACATTTCGGCGTTTCCCGAGCTAGTTTCTGTGTATCCATCTTTATTATTTATTTATTGTTTAGTCTTCGATTTAATCGTACAGACTATTCTAACTTTTCTTGATCCTATTTTAAAAACATTCTTAGAAATCGTAAAATCACAATGGACACAAACATTGTTGAAGGCTTTCAGGTAAGAGTTTAGTGGGTTGTTCTGAACGTAGGCGGTTCTATGTACAGGTACAGCAACAAGGGGAGATCTCCTTGATCTCCTTAGTTTCTGAGGTAAAACATTCACAATTTCCTTGAGCAATTGAGGGCAGTCGATGTGTCCACCAAGTAGGTCCTAAATAAACAGTTGCTAAATCCACTGTCGCCTTCCATGCAATGTTTCCAAGTTAATCAAAGCGCAACGAGGTGAATTGTCTGGTAGATGCAGGGGATCGCGCCATGCCAGGTTGCGTATTGTGAATCTAATGAATAGGCTCTGTATCCGTTCAACCTTTATGATAAGTGAGGCATGGAACGGAGAAGCGTATTCTAGGAGGCTACGGGCTAGAGTGCAGTACAGTGTCTTCTGTGCGTAGATATCCGTCGATAACCGTTTTTGCAGCCGAAAAAAACATGGCTTTGATGTTACTAGTGCCACGTGATCGTTAAACCTCAATTTGGAATCAATAGTAACCCGATTCGTTCGAACGACACGGATTCCATTTGTACTGGTGATTGATAGCAACGATAAAATTAAATTGTTTTATTATTTTACATTTTTTGATATTGTTGTTGTTGTTGCTTTATTAAGGAGACTTTCAGCCCAAGACTGGTTTGTCTCCGGCATTTTTTGATTTTGACTTTCATTCCGTTTTCATTGAACCATAGCTATGCATAGCAAAAAAAATGTCAATATCGCGTTGAAGTGCCAGATAGTCGAAACCGAAAGCTATAATTCTATAGACCTCAGGTCATCGCCAAACAACTGCTTGAATGGTGAAATGCGTTGGTACAAATCGTTCACGAATAAAATGAAGATTACTGGTCCCAACAGCGGAATTAATTGAAAAAGATTCCGAAAGAGAAAAATTTAACAACACGAAAGCATTACGATTGGACCGAATCCAGTCAATCAGCCAATCAGGGAGTCCAATAGCTTTTAGTTTATCACAGGCACGTGAGGTACCATATCAAATGCTTTTGAAACATCTATGTAGACTGAGTCGACCTGAGTGGGAAGTTCGACCTCGCTGAAAAGCGTGTTTTGTGTAGCACGTCAGATTCGTGGTTGTAGAGCGATGCTGAACAAATCCGTATTGCAACTCCCATATCAAAGGCTGAACAACACTGTACATGTTCTCTGTGCACTAAGGTTTCGAATGTCTTGCTAATGCAGCATAGAAGCGAAATGCCATGGTAGTTGTCATCGTAGTTACGGCTGACAGATTTGTGAATAGGTACGATAGTAGCAGTTTTCCAAATGCTGGGGAACGTCTTCTCGGACAGCGAATGGTTGAATATGCAGGACATCGGGAATGCTAGTGAGCGTGCATAGTATTTCAGGAAGTACGGAGGAATACCGTATATTCCGGGGCTTTTAGATGCGTTAAGCTGTCTGAACGTTACCAGGCGTGAAGTGCAACAAGGAGAATTTCAAATCGTATTCTTGGCCATCGTTGACACGATGACGCAACAAGGGGAGCATAGCTTGCAACATAAATGGCTTTAATTTTTTTTTTTTTTCCTTTGATTTGTTTTCCGTCGATCTTGTTTTCCGTGCTGAGCACCAATGCTACCGACGCCAGAGAGGCAGCTCCCACACCTGGACCCTACCTACCTATCGACCCATCAACTCATGAACCGGGGACCAACGGCTTTACTTCCCTTCCGAAGGAAGGCGTGATCAGAGATGTTATGCCTCAGAACATCCCGGCGGCGCCGACTGGGATTGAACCCAGGCCTGCTGGGGTGAGAGGTAATCACGCTTACCACTACACCACCGGCGCCGCTATAAATGGCTTTAAAAAAATGTAGCGAACAAATTTGCCACCTCTTCGAGTGAAGTTGCGGTTACTCTATCCAGAATAATTGTGTTGGGAACGCGATTGCACATCCTTTGCGACTTCACGAATTTCCATAACGTCGAAGGGTTTGTCTCAGATTTGACTGCGTTCGCTGAACATATTCTTCGTAGCTCATGGCCAGTAGTGTGTTATACTGTGGAATGGAGATAAGTTAAGCATTGGGTACAGGACCAAGTCTCCCCTGTGTGGTGCCAAAAGATGAGCGCAATAGAATCATCAAGTTGCCATAAGGCACGGAATGAGACTATTGCATGGCTGGGTAGTCAAAGTCTTCCATTCGTTAGTCATTTCAGGTGGATTAGAACAGGTTTAGGTGGGCGTTGGCCAGATTTGGATTTTTCAGATGTAATCCTGGATAGGACCCTGTCATTGAACGTCGCGTGAAAGTGGAACTTAATGAAGGCCTAAGTACTTTTTCGTAGTTTTTAGTTTTCGGATTTGAAAGATCGTCGGTTACAGTGGCCTGCTTACTGAGCAGAAAAACGCGGTCCAAGGTCCTTACATATCAAAGAGATTTATGGTAAAATCGCTTGTGTATCGTGTATTTTGCGAAACTCGTTATTGTCGTTGGTTCCGGGTTTGAATGGATACACAAATTTGAGCAACGGTATTATGTGATATGAGGGGCTCGGTGGCCTTAGAGCAACCGTTTTTGCTTACTGAGCAGAACATCATGAGTCTAATCTCAGGCCCATCCACATTCAAGATTCGTCAATCGTTTTATTTGTTAATATGACTACATGGTAATAACAGCAACTCGGTGATTAAAAAAGTGCTCGTCTGCCTAGTGGCAAACGTTTTTGCTTACTGAGCAGAAGACCGTGGGTTTAGTCCCAAGCTCCTTCGCGTTATATGATCGTTAGGATATCAATTCAGCTTATCGTTTACCAAAACGAACCCTGCTGCAAACCCAACCCTCTTATCCAACATCCCAGTGATTCCTCGTGGAAGTGCAGAGGTGTTCTCGGCTTCCATCAAAGCGAGTGTCATGTCAACACAATCCTTCCCATTCCTTTCTTGACATGTGTTCGGGTGCGGCCGGCGCTGGTATTGCCTAATTTAAGATCACCAGTTTTTACACATTGAGGATGATTGCTAGTCCCAAGCATCGTCTATTGGT